TTGTAATATTTGTGAATTTAAAAGACCACAATTTTTCACCTTGTATTATGGCCTGTGTCTAAAATTAACTGTATCATATAAAGCTATGTAAGAAATCTGAAATAGTTGTAACACTGAGGTGTTGAAGGAACTGGCAGGAAAAGGCAGCATAAAAAATGGTTATTCTGAAGTATTATGATTTAAAGCAAACCTAAATTACAATTTTAGTATTGTTTGTGCAATAGCTCTGCATACTTTCAGTTATAACCCCATCATAAAGTGCATTTTTCTTCAATTACAACACAAGATAAAATGTACATGCTAGGTCAGCTAAAAACAATAAGAAGTTAAACAAACACCTCATTATAACATACCACGAGTGACTGGTTGTGCCAGTATTAGTTACAATGTCTCATTAGCACAGATCAAACATGTATGGCAGTTTTATGGAACAATACCAAATGCCAGTTCAAAGATTTAACAAAAGTAACAAAATAGCTGTATATAATATTGTTTAATTGTTTACTTTATCCAAATGTAAACTAATGTTTAAATTAAGGCCTTGTAATACTACTTATTTATTCAGTAAGGATCACACCAGACTTGTGCTAGGACACAGGTCTTTGCCTGCAGTTCCCACAGGTGAGGTTCCCATTGTTGGCTAGACTTCTGAAAGCAATTCCCCATATGCTATGTTTCCATCATTAATTGTACTACCAAGAGAGCGGCATCAAGCAGAGGCCAGCCGCTTCATCACAAGGAAGCAGGGGGAAAAAAACTGAAACTGATTTATCTTAAAATGTTCCTTGACACCTCCTAGTGGAGGGCAACATAATTTTGATTGGCAGAAGCTTGGAAATAGGTCATCTGCCTTTCCCCAGTCCTCTACTGGGGATTGACTTGCATGCATTTCATTACATATGGAATTCCTATCTTCATTGCAGGGTTATAGGCAGATACCCATTTAATGGACACTGGATTTGAATATTTGCAAAGGTTTTCAAAGAATTTATTTCTGTCTGATTTCCAACAATTTCAGGCTGGCTTTAAAAACCACAGGGAGTTAGATTTTTGAAGAGCTAGCGGTCTTCCTGATTTATGCAGACTGCAATTGTAGCTGTTCAAAGTTCAATTTTGCTTTTTCTTTATAATGGGATGGGGAGGAGCCCTGATAGTGTAACACATTTCCACATTTTTATCAGTAACTCAGAAACTATAATATCCCTCCTTATGAAACTCGTGCAATATATTGATTCTTCTGAATTGAAGAATAAATTAACAGATCATACCAATTGAACTTAACTTACTTTTGTAAGTTAAGTTAATCAGATGTTCGCTTCCGCCACAACTGAAATATTTTAAATGCCTGTTAAACAGGCAACATACCATGGTTTCATTGTCTTTGCCAAGAATACAAACACAAAGCTACCACAATGGTCTGCAAAGTGTTGTTTGCCTCCAGTGACTCACCAACTTGGCTGTTCTCCCTCCGGGTTTTTGAAAACCTATTTGTTCCTCGATAAAGTAAATATATTTGCATGTGACTGATACCTTGCCACTAAATTGCTTTCATGAGGTGCATGGTCATAAATAGATTTTCATAAATCAATACAGAGATTATAACAATACAAAATACATATCATGGGTTCCAGATATGTGTTCCAACAATGCAATCCAACACAAGCCTAAAATCTTTCGGCACCCTTCTAAATTTCAAGATAAAAATCTAAAAAATAATAAGACAAGACAGTCATTGCAAAGTAGATATGATACCTCAAGAACACGTCAAATCAACACAGGCCATCACAAAAGTGATCAACAAATATGAACAAATATTTTGCAAAAATCTCTCACAAATTTTCATTTTTTAATCTCCTTCAATGCTCTGGAAGCAAAATCACGTTTCTTTTGAAGGGTCAGAAGGTTAAAAAAACAATAAGTGTTTTGAATTATCAGAACAGTACAAATCTTGTTAGCAAGCATGCTGCATTCATAACGGACATCAAAAATAAACACTGCATTTTCTAACATTTCAACAGCATTATAATTCGGTCACGTCTTATGCACTTGACAGTTTAAATATGTATGAACAGTGACTGAAATTCTATGAATGGTCAGCTGAAAGATATTTGGTAACATAGACAGTAAAATCTAATAACAGACAAAATAATCAATAAAGGTGCAATATTTTTTATTCTTTAAATGGAAGTCTTCCATTTAATTAGTACTAAAGGTAGAGAAGCCTGCAGGCAGTTTCTAGCCTGATAATAGCGTATTGCACTTGCCTAGCTGGTTGGTGTACAACATGGTGTATAAACCAAAACCTTGTCCTTCTTGAAGCACGAGTGCACAAATTTCCTCCAAAGCCCAGGAATACCACTCTCTTCCACATGCACACATTTGCTGCATTACCATTGTACCTTAACGTTCCTGGGCTCTAACAGCGGAAGGGGAAACAGCAAGGTTCAAGTTCCTGATTGCTCTCCACTGATCCCTGCTGAAAGTGTGCTTGGGTAACTGTCAGATAAGAACAGGATAGGACTCCACTATGAAGCCCTTCTCAGTCACATAGCCTGCTGCTGCTCACTGGCTAGACTCGTAGATGAAGAAGGGTCACTTTGGCAAAGTACTGGAAGAGGACCAGCATCTGTCACCCCCCCACCCCCCAACAATAGTGAGTACAATTTTAAAAGATGGGCAATGAAAAATCTATTTCACACTTTGCTTGGTGGGAAGCATTATGAAAACCTTTATGTGCAATTGGTACAGTGGTAATCCCCATCTGTTATAAACTTCAACAGGTAATCTCCTCTCCCAAAGAGCTGATCCAATATTTTACTCTTGGCATTGACAGGACGACTGACCTGCTGTCATTGTGACACGATGGAAACTGAGCAATCTCTAATCAGAGCTTTTCTGCAGTCCTTCTGCACTGTGGTATTCAAGCCCTACAAACGAGGCATTTTTATTTCCAACCATAAATAACTCTGGTATTCTTCTGTGCTGGTTGCCTTGGTGATGTCTGGAGTAGGGTCAAATTTGGGCCTTCAACACCTACCCATCTGGCTGATATAGAGTATTTTGGTTCATAATGGATTCTCCCCGATTGCTCACATTTGTGCTTATCCAAAAATTCTCTGAAGTACTGGTAGTAACTTCTGAACAGTTCGGAGAGATATTTCATGACTGGCTCTGGATACAGTGGTGGAGTAACTAAGTGTCTGACAGAATGATGCAGATCACACATGGGCACTTCAGACTTCTTGCCTTGCCCCTTCCTACCTCTCTGACCTGCTGACTCCCTCCCAACCTGCCCGCTCCCTCCGTTCAACGGGCTCCGGCCTGCTCCATGTCTTCCGCCCGACCCGCCCTACCATCAGTGGCCGGGCTCTCAGTCTCTCTGTCCCCACACTCTGGAACTCCATCCCACGGTCCCTTTGCCTCACTTCCTCCCTTGCCTCCTTCAAGACCGGTCTCAATACCCTGCTCTTCGATCGTGCCTTTGGTCTCCCTCCCACCTCTCTGCCTTCCCTCACCCCTACACCACCCATCCCCCATGCTCGGGCCCTGACACCTGACTGTTCTGCGCTTTGGGACGTCCTCCCGACGTGAAAGGCACTCTATAAATGTCATTTTGTTGTGGTGGTTCTTGAAGCTCACACATTTTGCAGTATTTTAAAGCTAATGTTTTTGGATTTGGAATTAAGCAGTCGATACTATTTATGATTCATGACAGTAAAGGATTTCCTTTCAACTTGCACATTTTTAAAATTTAGAATGTACTTTAAAAACACACAAATTTAATGTACCTTTTATTCATTGAAACTAGAACATAATACTTTTCATGGTGCCCATAAGCAAAGAACAGGCTTTGTATTTGCACAGAGAGGCTCGTAGAAACTGTTTTAATGCAAATGAAAAACAGAAGAACAGAGTAAAGACTCTATGGAGAGGTACTTACTATGTGTGGCACAGGAAAGTAATGAAAGTAATGATGGAATGGTCTCTTAAAAGGGTGCATGTATCCTTGAAAGCACCTCCACAGCTGCACTAGTTTCTAATAGAAAACCACGGGTAATAAAGGAGAACAAATGAAGCAAAAATAATTTGCGCCAGACAGATGTTGAACAATAGTTCTGGCCAACCATAATTTGTTGAGTGCCCTACAAAAGTTATACATTAACTAGCAACAACTCAAAACCTCTTACCAGCAGCAAATCTGTGCTTTTTTCAGGGGAAAAAAGAGCACCAATGAATGTTGCAGTGCTATTCTCACTGAGAGTAGAAGGCTCTTTGCAACATACTCTGATACGCTATGACCTCTAACATAAACATAGTTTATAGCGCTCTCACACAAAGACAGAACCAATATAAAACAATCCTTTGTTTTTGTAGGTTTCCCATATTATGAAGGGGTCCTGTCCTGCTGTTTCTCTAATGGTTATGTTGCCGTTTCTCTCTTTCACTGCCCCCAATGTATTAACTCAATCACACAAGTAAGATGTACCCTTTGAACCACATTTCATTATTTCAAGAAACTATACTGTATTGCTAAAAACTGATCAGATTACAAGGCACAAGTGAAATGTGTTGTATTACCCACCTAAAACCAATCAAACTGATATAATTTTCCTATAAATTTAAACATTCTAAATTGAATTCAGTAATATTCATGCATTTAATGTAAAAACTAATGCAGCCCTGCATTGACGCAGAACTTTCTTTTAAATTACTATTTTAAACAGATGCATGCTGACTGGAAGCAAGTACATCAAAGGAGAGAATACAAGAAAAAGGATGAATTTCACACAATATTAATATTTTTTCTCCAGATGGAATGTGGTTGACGTTGACAATTATGCCATCCTCATTTGCTCTATAAGTTCTGGTTGGTAGAAATAAATTAATATGGAAAACAGAAATACCACTAAATAACCCAATAAGCCAACTACCATAAAGGCAATAAACATGTGACTTTATTCAGTTGCTCAAAATTATTTGTTAAAAGAAAAAAAGAATACCTCCAATTATGCAATGCCAAGCCAGGACACTGGTCGCCACACGCATTACAAGGTTGCCCTTTATCTGGGTCATCCACTGCAGAGAGCTGTAAAATAAGCCTCATCATTAACACAAATTGCAAATGTTCCTGAAACATACAACCCAAATTTTGTAGACGTTCAAGTAAAACAGGGAATTGAAGGGAACCTTCAGTGGCAAGTTTTGCTGAACTGCATTAGGTGAAGGCACTGCATAAATAGGAACTGTAATTTTGTTGTGCACCTCTGTCCCAATTTTGCCCCTTAACCACCAAGTGATTCTCACCACAAGAAATATTGCCTGAAGATGGGCAAAAACTGGAGCTGTGATGGAATTATGATGGAAATCCATTAGCATTAGTCACAGCTCCACTGCTTGATATATCCAGCAATCAATCCTATTTGAAGTAGGTTCATAACCTAAACGCATCGTTCCTGGTAATTTATACAACACTGTGTGTGTGTGTGTGGGGGGGGGGGGGGGGGGGGGGGGGGGGGGGGGGGGGGGGGGTATATGGTATTAGGAATCAAAAGGGTGAGTTCAGATCAATCCAAACTGTTACACATCTCTCATGTGTGACCTTAAATCTTGCGGAGTGCTCCACTCGGGTACTTTAAACCACCAAACACACGTGTACTGCCCCAAAAAACAATGAAAAGCAACAGCAAAACACACACACACACACACACACACACCATCACTACTTTCATGTCAGTTCCCCGAGCGAGATGCCGAGTTAAAAATTAACATGAAACGGATTCCTCCAGTAAATGCGACAATTAAGACATTTCCTCGGGAAGGAAGGAGACGACTGTAATTACGACGGTCACGTCGCTCTGATGGGTATATCCGTTCCTTCAGAAACACGGAGTTTGAACTCAAACGCTGTGATTAAATCGGTTACGGTCGATTTCCCTCTGTAACCTGTAAACTGTTCACTGCATATCTCTGGCTATCACTCTGTTCTGATCCCCCACTCCCCCCCCACTCCCCACTCCCCCCCACACTCCCCACTCCCCCACTCCCACTCCACCCAACTCCCCACTCCCCCCACTCTCCCACACTCCCACTCCCCCACTCTCCCCACTCCCCCACACTCCCCACTCCCCCACTCTCCCACACTCCCCACTCCCCACTCCCCACTCTCCCCCACTCCCCCCCACTCCCCCACACTCCCCACTCTCCCCACTCCCCACTCCCCACTCTCCCCCACTCCCCACTCTCCCCACTCCCCCCACTCTCCCCCACTCTCCCCACTCCCCCACACTCCCCTCCCCACTCCCCCCACTCCCCACTCTCCCCACTCTCCCCACTCTCCCCACTCTCCCCACTCCCCCCACACTCCCCTCCCCACTCCCCCACTCCCCACTCTCCCCCACTCCCCCCACTCCCCCACACTCCCCTCTCCCCACTCCCCCCACTCCCCACTCTCCGCACACTCCCCACTCCCCCCACTCCCCCACTCTCCCCACTCCTCCCCACTCTCCCCCACACTCCCCACTCTCCCCACACTCCCCACTCTCCCCCACACTCCCCCCACTCTCCCCCTACTCTCCCACTCTCCCCACTCTCCCCACTCCCCCACTCTCCCCACACTCCCCACTTTCTCCCCACTCTCCCCCACTCCCCCCACTCTCCCCACTCCCCCACATTAATTCCAACCCAGTTTTATTTTTTTGCTAATTTGGAACGGTTAAACCTGACGTTTCTCCTCACAGTTTGATACACGCGGTTAATAATCCCCTTTGAAGTCTCAAAAGACTCCATCTTGAAGAGCTGATTAGATCGGTGAACGTAAAAGCTCTGAAAGGAGAGAAACGCATGAAAGCATTTTATTATTCGCTTTGCATAACGCATAAAGCCAAAGTGTGTGTGTGAGAGAGAGAGAGAGAGAGAGAGGAACGACCGCTGCACCTAAACCGTATCGATTTTTATATAGAAATAAATAATTCATCTACGTTTACAAACGCAACGCGCATAAGATATTGTGTGAAGGTATTTTTTTGACACGGGATCTACAGTGGGGGATTGAGGGTTCATCTGAAATGCTGTGGTTTTTTTAAAAAGAAAAACTTTGGAAAACCCTGTGCCTCAAACGTAAAAAAAAAGGCGACACCACAAACCACACAGTCTTTTGCAAAAGACAGTTCAAGAGAAGTGTGACACCCCCCTCCCCACACCCCCCTCCCCACACCCCCCTCCCCACACCCCCCCCCTCCCCCACCCCCCTCCCCACCCCCCCCCCTCCCACACCCCCCCCCTCCCCACACCCCCTCCCCACACCCCCCCCCCCTCCCACACCCCCCCACACACCCCCCCCCCACACCCCCCCCCCCACACCCCCCCTGCGTTTACATCTCCTGCACTCTGTGATCTCTCGCTCTCCTCCACCTCCACAGATCCTCTGATGGGAACCCGAAAGCGGAGTGTCCTCCAGCCCTGATCACACAGACTTCCTGGGCGGTCAAATAGTTCTTACAACTTGACTGGCAATTTCACGCTCTTTCCTCTCTCTTGTTCCCCCCTTTTAAACCCAATGCACGGAGCAGAAATCGATCGCTCAATCGATCACTAAATGCCCCAAAGTAGAAAGAGGTGAAAGAAAGGTGAACACACGAATTGTGGTCAGAATTAATACAGAGGGCGTGAAGAAAAATAACTTGTCCTCGCAATGCAGAGAGTGGGGAGGGAGAAGGTAAAGGAGCAGCAACCACAATAACATTGTAATCCGGGGTGTGTTTCCAACCCCATCTGCGGGCCCCACATACAGTTTTTTTTTGCTAACAAGAGCCTGGCAGTTACTGTAAGGGGTGACATTCACAATGCAACCGTGAACCACCCCCCAAAGGTGTGCATGAGATTTAATTTGGGGTTTGCATTGGGTGGGGGGGGGGGGGTGGAGAGCTATCGGGCGTGTCCAAGGTCTAAAGGCATCTCGATCTGGAGAGGTCTCTTCCCCCATCTCTCTTTCCCACTCCAACCTCACCAGCAACAAATCCCATGGACAAGGTGAGAGTATAGAGCTGACACACACACACACAGACACACACTCAGACACAGACAGACACACACACAGACACACACACAGACACACACACAGACACACACAGACACAGACACACAAACAGACACACACACAGACACACACAGACACACACAGACACACACAGACACACACACACAACACACACACACACACACACAGACACACACTCAGACTAAAACATAACCCAACACTCACCCATCTGCTGGAGTTTCGCTTTCTGGAGCCGCGGCTGAACATGTCTTAAGTGAATGTGTCTCAGTCCTGAATCCTCACTGACTCAGTCAGTCAGTCACTTACACGGGGAATAATCGTGTGCGAGAGTGAGTGAGTGGGTGTGTGGGAGGGGGGAGGGGGGGGGGGGGGCGGAGGGTCTAAAGGAATGAAAACTGGGCCACTTTTTTTAACAGTAGCTCCTGAGAGCGGCGCTCGAGTTCCCAACGGCTCCTCACAACATTGTGAATGGGGGAGAAAAGCTCAGTGCTCACCTTCCGGTCACTGGCAATCCCCCCCGCCCCCCCCCCTCCCCACCCCTCCTCCCCCCTCCCCCCCCCCCGCCCCCCCCCCTCCCTCCCACCCCTCCCTCACCCCTCACCACCAGCCGACACTCCGCCTCGGCATCTGGGACCCGCGCTCCACCTTTGCTTTGTTCTTTTTTATATATGAAAAAATAAAATCTTGAACCCTGAACACACACCACAGGTTTCTTTGTTGTATCTCTTCCCCGACAAAAGAGAGAGAGAGATGTAACAGGGCGGCTATTTGGTTCCCCCCTCCTTCTCTG